TTTTAATTTTTGAATTAAAATGATCTACTAGCTCATTTACTGAGATGTTGGCAGGGGCAAGTGTGGAAGAGAAATTCTGAGTAAACATTTCCCTAGTGTTTTCAGTTAAATATCGCTTTGTGGTTACCTCTTTTTGAACATTTTTGTGAACAGAAATAGAGCCCTCAAAGAAAACACAGGAATGGTCAGAGAGTGCAACATCAGTCACCACAACCTTAGAGATATTCAGACCCTTTGAGATAATTAAGTCCAGAGTGTGCCCCTTATTGTGCGTGGGCTCCGTCACATGCTGAGTCAGTCCATAGCTATCAAGAACACAAAACAGTTCTTTAGCCCCTCTGTCCTGGGGGTTGTCAACATGGATGTTAAAATCACCAACAATGACTAGACGGTCAAAGTCAATACACACTATAGACAGCAGTTTCAGTAAAGTCATCAAAAAAGCTTGCACAGTATTGGGTGGTCTATAGATATTTAGGAACAGAGCTCGAGAGGAGCATTTCAGCCGGAGGGCCACATATTCAAAAGAATCAAAGTTTCCATAAGATGTCTTCCTGCATTGAAGGGCATCATTGAACAGAATAGCTACTCCACCCCCTTTCTTATGCATTCTTTCCTGACTCATAAAACTGAAGTTGGGAGGGGTTGATTCGATAAGAACAGCTGCACTGTTATTTTGTTCAATCCAAGTTTCTGTTAAAAACATAAAATCGAGATTGTGCTCAGTGATAAAATCATTGATTAAAAATGTTTTTCCTGCTAAAGACCTGACATTTAATAAAGCTAGTTTAAGTTTGTTAAACACACTATCAGTCATGTTTTTTGTAACAAGCTGTGGCTGACATGCAATCACTGCTAAATTAGATACACTCACACAAACGTTTGAGCGCTTCCTGTTTCTATGATTCACCGCTCTTAATCTATTACCTATCAACACAGATATCGGCAAAGCTACTGGCAGGCAGGGCCCCGACATGTCCTTGAAAGAGTTGAGAGTGCCATACGCCCTTGAGCCTGGACCCATCACATATCAGTAAGAGTTTGTTGTGTTTTGTACACACACATCCTTATCAGGCTTCGGAGACTGCAGAAGCCCCCTCGAAGGGAGGGGAGGTGGTCGACGTAGGCACGGTGATGGAGACGGGCTAGATGGTGCGGGGGTAGAGGACATGCTGCCAGGGGGGGGAGGTGGTTGACGTAGGCGCGGTGATGAGGACGGGGGAGATGGTGCGCGTCTCCGCGGTGATTTTGGTGGGCGTCGTTGAGGAGCGGGGGTAAAGGACATGGTGCCAGCCCTGCGTATCGCCTTCGTTTGGTCTTTGAACTCCAGGAAGGAATCGGTGCCAACCCTCTGTATCTCCTTTGTGTGTTCATCGATCTCCAGGAGGGTGGGCGAGGGGTGAAAGGGTGAACGGAGTATCCTCAAAGGCGTTGACAGGGGGGGGGGGCAGTGGAGACTCCTCCATGTGTCTCATATGTCTCCCATAATCAGAACATTCCTCAGGCGGGTGCAGTGATAATTCTTCAGGGTTTTCTGCGTGATGTGTTGTGTCTTTCTCGTGTTTTGATTCCTCCTGCCGCTTGTCCTTGGCAGAGGGAACAGATTGATGACGCAGGCAGTTGAATATGTTAGAGATAAACAATTTCACTCCTGACTTGTTCAGGCAAACTCCATTTGCCTTGAAAAGATGTCTGCGATCCCAGAAAAAGTTAAAATTGTCAATAAAATGAACAGAATGGTCAGTACAGGCCGTTGAAAGCCACGTGTTCAGTGCAAACAATCTGCTGAATCTCTCCACTCCTCTTCTGACTGGCGGTAGAGGGCCACTGATGAACACCTCTGCATTTAGAGAGCTGGCAGTTTCCAACAAACATTTAAAGTCTTCTTTCAGCACTTCTGACTGTTGTTTCACAACATCATTTGTTCCAATGTGCAGTACCACATTCTTCACAGTCGGATGTTCAGCCCCAATATGCAGGATCTTCTCAGCCAAGTCAGAGACCACATCCTTGGGAAAACAGAGTACTTTGGTGTTGTTCTTATTACACAGACCTTTTACATCTCTTACAGCAGAGTCACCCACAATCAGAGTTTCAGGCCCAGTCGTTAGCTTTCCCTCTAGCCTTTTACTTTTAGAGTAGCTATTGGTCCTTACCCTGCTGCGTGAAGAGGACAGGTTATCCAGGTCATCAGATCTCCGGTTCTCGGTCAGCGGAGCGTATCTGTTCTGGATTGGCACACTTGGTGGTTTAGGAGGATTGTTTGTAATTCTCCCTTTAGCAGCTGTCCACGGCTGTTTCCTAGTATGAATAGGGGTTGAAGAGGCGCTCTTCCTGGGTGATAACAATGCAGGCCAGCCGGTCGCATCACAGATTTCGGAGCTCTGGGCTCTGCCTGTTATCCGTCCTCCCAAATCCCATGGAAGTGATTTACTCTTAGGCTTTGCACCCAGAGAGTTCCAGGGAGGACTATCACTTGTAGATTTATTACCCGGTACACAGCTCTCCTGTTCCTTGGAATCCTTGTAGCTGCTAACTAGCTGTGAGTTAGCATACCCTTCTCCATTACTTAGCAACACTGGTAAAGTTGTGTCATTCCCACGACATAGTCCATTCACTTCCACGTTAACTTCCAACCGTTGCATTTTCATTTCCAACACAGCCATCTTCTGTATAAGTTTCTGGAAGTCATCTGTAGAGAACGGAGGCATTTTGCTACCAACTAGCTTAAGCTAAATAGCAGTAGCCTACCAGGCTTTAGCTGTTGCTAGGCCACGCTATTGTAAGACTGACGTCGTCGTAAAAATGTTGAAATATGGCTGAAACCCTCCGTCTATTTACGAAGATGAACTGTCCCAGTGATAAGTTAATGTCCAGGAGCCGCTGCTCGAAGTTTTCAGAGAATAAGAATAGGAAAATCAGCATAAAAAGTAAGCAGAGGCAAGAGCAAGCAGAAAAGCGTCTGCACTGTAAGAAAGATAAGCAAGAGATCAAAGAATGTATTGAATAATTTAAGTGATATATGTGTACACACATATAAATCATTCATTGGTCAAAACAGGGCTACATTTGATTGAATTAAAAGGTATTATGTGGTAAACTGAAGAGCTGTTTGGGAGCCGAAAGAGCCGGCTCTTCTTGGTGAGCCGAGCCAAATGATCCGGCTCACCAAGAAGAGCCGGAATTCCCATCACTACTTCCAACAACTGCGTCATTGTGCTTTCGGTATTAGACATATAAACAGTATTTAGCCTCTTTATGTTTTTAACTATAACTGTCGTTCTGTTCAGGTGACTTAAATCATGATATGATGTTTGGTTCTTATTAAAATAGTCTTTTTCTCTAGAGCCGTCCTCCCACATGTGGTGATATGCCACTAGAATGTAAGGTACACTGTTTTTGCACAAGAATCAACTAGGCTTCCTTTTATGATGTTTCTTAACAACCTTTTTTTCCTTTGACAGCGTGAGTGCCTCTCAATCCACGTTGGTCAGGCTGGTGTGCAGATTGGCAATTCATGCTGGGAGCTTTACTGCCTGGAACATGGGATCCAGCCGGACGGCAGGAAGCCTGATGACCAGAACACCTCAGGAGGAGGAGGAGGAGGAGGAGGAGGAGGAGGAGGAGGAGGAGGAGGAGGAGGCGACGATTCCTTCAACACCTTCTTCATGGAGACTGGAACTGGAAAGCACGTCCCCAGAGCTGTGTTTGTTGACCTGGAGCCCACTGTCATCGGTAAATTCTAAATGATAAAAGTATCATAAATGCCTTTCCCCCCTCTGTCATTCAAAAGCTTCAACAATCTAATGCTCGTTGCCCTTAGATGAGGTGCGCACTGGGACTTACCGCCAGCTGTTCCACCCTGAGCAGCTGATCACTGGCAAGGAGGATGCTGCCAACAACTACGCCCGAGGACACTACACCATCGGCAAGGAGGTTATCGACCTAGTGATGGACAGAATCCGAAAGCTGGTCAGTACATTTAGAACAGAAGTCAGTTTTGCTGAAGAGCATTAAATCAGTTTATTGCTAAGTAGGGTTTCACATGCAAAGCGTATGCAATCATATTGTGGTGAATGGCACAAAGAAGTATTGCAAAAGTATCATAATAAATATGTGATGTATATGTTTTAAAATGTAGAGCGTACAGTGTTTTAAACACAAAACATAACAATCTGGTATCACTCTTTGAAAGTGAGCATATTTCCCCGATTCTGGCCCACTTGCATCGGCTTCCTCCGCCCTGCACAACTCAGTTTAAGAGCCTCCTGATCGCATTCAAAGCCCTCCATGGTATGGCCCCCTCTGATCTGTTTTCATCTATATGTTTACATGCTGTGCACTGATACGCTTTGTTATCATTAGCTGTGAACCCGTGGCACTGCTGTCTTTGTATTATATAAATACATTTATTATTTGATTGTCTCTTTTTCTTTCAGTCCGACCAGTGCACCGGTCTTCAGGGTTTCCTGGTGTTCCACAGCTTCGGAGGGGGCACCGGCTCTGGCTTCACCTCCCTGCTGATGGAGCGTCTGTCCGTCGACTACGGCAAGAAGTCCAAGCTGGAGTTCTCCGTCTACCCGGCTCCCCAGGTGTCCACCGCTGTGGTGGAGCCCTACAACGCCATCCTGACCACACACACCACCCTGGAGCACTCTGACTGTGCCTTCATGGTTGATAATGAGGCTATTTTTGATATCTGCCGTAGAAACCTCGATATCGAGCGTCCCTCTTACAACAACCTGAACAGGTTAATGAGTCAGATTGTGTCCTCCATCACTGCCTCCCTTCGCTTTGATGGGGCCCTCAATGTTGATCTGACAGAGTTCCAGACCAACTTGGTGCCCTACCCCCGTATCCACTTCCCTCTGGCCACCTATGCCCCTGTTATCTCTGCAGAGAAAGCTTACCACGAGCAGCTCTCGGTGGCAGAAATCACTAACTCCTGCTTCGAGCCAGCCAATCAGTTTGTGAAATGCGACCCACGCCACGGTAAGTACATGGCCTGCTGCCTTTTGTACCGTGGTGACGTCGTTCCCAAAGACGTGAACGCTGCCATTGCCAACATCAAAACCAAGCGCTCCATCCAGTTTGTGGACTGGTGCCCCACTGGTTTCAAGGTGGGCATCAACTACCAGCCGCCCACTGTGGTTCCTGGTGGAGACCTGGCCAAGGTGCAGAGGGCTTTGTGCATGCTGAGCAACACCACTGCTATTGCAGAGGCCTGGGCTCGGCTGGACCACAAGTTTGATCTGATGTACGCTAAGCGTGCCTTTGTGCACTGGTATGTGGGTGAGGGTATGGAGGAGGGAGAGTTCTCTGAGGCCAGAGAGGACATGGCCGCTCTGGAGAAAGATTACGAGGAGGTTGGAGCTGATAGTCAGGGAGATGATGATGAGGAAGGAGAGGAGTATTAGAAAGGCAGACAGTCCGCTTTATTGATCCATGCTGTTTTATTAATGTCAAGTAAATAAAGTTGTTTGACTGAACCTGAACCTATGCTTTCCTCTCGTCAATAAATACACTGTTAAACATGACCTACCTGCCTAACATGACCTATGATGGGTTGGATGTATTCACTTGCTCAGTTCAATCAAATGTTTTCGCACAGATGCTATTACTCACTTCAGTCACTTTGAGACAGTGGTGTTCAACATGTATATCTTTTCTCTGAACAGACCAGGCATGACATCTAGTTAAATGTACTGCTAGATTAATCACTAAATTATTTCCCAGCATCAGATGATTCCAGAGTACCATTTGCATATCTTACATTGACTTATTTAAGATTAGATTTGTGCGTTACGTGAGAAGAACGGAGTCCTAACCCCGGCCTGATCTACAATAGGGTGTGGTATCACTGGCCCAAGGGAGGGATAGTGAGAAATACAGACGCACACACACGGTGCCCTCATGCGCACAGGTTGACCTATTTGGCTCTACTAAAACGCCCTGAAAAGGCCGCTGGAAGGCCCATACAGTCTTTGACCACACACGGAGAACACACAAACACGGGATTACAAGCAAAGCAAAGGTATTGTGTAAACGGTAATATCGTGGTGAATATGGAAAGAAGCAAGTAAATGGAAACCAGTCAAATGGAAATAAATGGACTGTTTCAAACTGGAAACTTTGTTTCTGACCTTTATTCGGCAGCAAACTTGTGTGCGTCAATTACACCCACCAAGCGGAGGCTTAAAGCGTTGGCTTAGCCTCTACAACAGGGGTGGGGAACCTCCGGCCCCCGGGCCGCATACGACCCGCGAGACCATTTGGTACGGCCCGCGAGGTAATTTATAAACACACGCAAAAATGTAAGAAATCTAGACTGCAAAAAAATTAAACAAGGGAGTGCCTATTTTTCCTGGGCAAGGTCAGGGTCCTTGAACACAACACGAGCCTAACGTGTCATCACGTGGGATATGTCTCGTCTGACGGGTGCAGTTCTGACGGAGAGCACCAGAACGCTACTCCGTCACTTCCAAAAATGGCGGTACCGATAAGCAGCGCCATATAGATAGAATGTGGCGCTGCGCATAAGGAGCCGTACACATGACGCAGTTTCTGCGTGGCTGTGTCTTTAGTTGAAAGCCCAGTGGCGATCTGTTCATCTGTCATACTGATCATACTGTCAATAACTTTGTTGTTATTAGCATCAGGTTAGCTCGCTATGCTAACGAATATAAGAAGCTTTTTCTTCAATCAGTGAGGTGAAGGCACATCTTTATATGATCATAATAGTTATAAAAAAATAAGAGAATAAAGTAAACAGGTATAAAATACTATATGACTGTAAAAAAAGTTGTTATTAATAAACAAGAATACCGTTTTTTTTTAAATAAAAATAAAATCTGCTTACAGTTCTGCTTCATATCCATATGAAACAGAACTGTAAGCAGATTTTTATTTTGATGTTGAGAGATGTATCCATAGATCTCCTAATGTTGCTCTCAAAGTGCACCAGATTGATGCTTTTAACTTCCGCATGCCCCCCGGACCCCCCTAGAGGAGGTTAGGTTCCCCCCCCACTTAAATAATGTCCACATGGATAGGATACTAAATACATTTGCACACATCATGTGTCCATATCTTTCTGTTTTGGTGGCCATGCCACAACCGTGCACGTGCATGCATATGCGAGTCATGGTGAGATATCTGGATCAAGAAGTTGCTTTTTCTTTGCAGAGCATGAAAGAAAGGCGAAATGAATGGGCGGTGATTTTAGTATTTTTAAGCAGATGTTGAGTTCAATAATTTGTACGGCCCTTGGAGGATGTTGAAAAAATTGAAACGGCCCTTGAGAGGAAAAAGGTTCCACCCCTGCTCAGTGGCGTTTCTAGGTGTACAAAACTGGGGGGGCAGAAAGAGGTCGGGGGAGAGAGAGAGAGAGAGAGGGGGGGGACAGAGAGAGGGAGGAGAGAGAGAGGGGGGACAGAGAGAGGGGGGGAGGAGAGAGAGAGGGGGAGTGTCAAATTACATACTGAAGACCACAGGAGCAACACTGTGAGCGCATACATTTACGTACACAGCGTGGGGATGTCATAGTAATGCACCTTCATACATGGAGTAAAGGTCACCATCACAAAGTAATTCTTAACAATAACAACAACCGTAATGCTTTAGCATTAAAACACCATAGACTGTAAATATAAGGAAAACACAGACACTCATCATCGAGGTCACAATATCAATCGATCCAGCAGAGGCAAAACACAGAAGATCAACAAAATATATGACATAAATGAACTTACCAAAGCTGAAGGCTCACTTGAAAAGAAAAGCGGCACGGCGGTCCTTCCTCTGACAGAATGTGTCTATCACTTTGGGGATGAAGTCCTGTAGTTGCTGGATCAACTGGCTTTCAATTGAAAGCATGGCCAATGCGTTAAGTCGCGGCTGTCCCATGGTGTTGCGAGTGAAAGTCTTTATCCTTTTGAGGGTGGAAAAGTTCCTCTCTGACTCGGATGTCGTCATCGGAGTTGTCACTATTATTTTTGACCAAAATAACAGTCTCAGCAAACGTTTCCTCCAAGTTGTTCTCGTGAATGGATTTCAACAGAGACAGGGCAGTGTTTCCAGTGTGAAGCTCACTGTGGCGGTAGAGCGTGGTCAGCTCAGACTTCAACTTCTCCTGGTTTCCCAACGCAGGCCACAGTTTCACGGCGCAGTCAAGCTCAGGTGTAGGAAATGACAGGACATGCTGTGGGAAGAATGAGCTGTCAACAAGCTTTGCAGCGATCAAATGGTCACTCTGTGAGAACCTCTGTTCCACCTGTGAGATGACTGTGTCACAAGCCTCCTTCATCACCGGCGCTGTGCTGCTGACTCGTCGGCCTGGCTCGTCTGTTCCATCATGAGCAGTGGCGGCCAATGCATCAGTTTTCTGCCTCATTTTCTGAACATTTTCCTTGAAACGGCAGAGCGCGCTGTTGATCCCAGGTGCATCGATGTTTCGTTTTTACAGAGTGTTGTATAGAACATCCACTTCTGGCATAAGCAACGAAAAAAACTCCAGGAGCTGCATAAATGCTCGGTCCCGCAGTTTCTTTGACAGGCCGTATGCCTCACTTATGGTGACCGCATCCCATCCTGGTTGTGCGCGTATATGCTTCATACACTGAAGTAGTGCATCTCGGGTCTCCCAAACCGCGTTCACAGTTCTGCTTTTAAAGTTCCATCTCACAGCCGGTGGCCGTGGGATGCGTCTCTGTGTTGCCTCTGCAAGAGCTGCAACACGTTTTGGAGCACCGGAGAAAAAACACCTTCAGGATGCTCATCCTTGCTGAACACAGTTGCTGCAGGGTCAGGTTCAGTTGGTGGGCGTAGCAGTGAACAAACTGAGCGTTTGGGTACGTCTCCTTCATCACCGTCTGTACCCCGCGCACGTTACCGCTCATGACGGCCGCCCCGTCATAGGTCTGAGCGATTAGCTTTTCTTTCAGCTTCAGGGGTTCCAGAACAGCCTTGATGCTGTTAGAGAGACCTACACCAGTTTTGTCCTTTACTTCCACAAACTCCAAAAAACGCTTTGTAACTGTGAGGTCAGGCATAATGTATCGCAGCACAATCACCATTTGCGATTTACAGGAGACATCGGTTGTCTCGTCGGCCTGAACGGCAACAAATGATGTGTTGTCCACTTGCTTGGCTATTTCCTCCCTGTACACATCATACATGCAGTCCAAGAGTTCATTCTGTATGGTGCTTGATGTCCCTTTGAAAACAAGCTGAGCTTCGTAGTGCCGTTGAAGCCTGGAATCGCCCTCACACATTGTCTCGAAAATTGACCTGAATATCCCTGGATTCAGAGAGTCCGCCGACTCGTTGTGGCCCCGCAGTGCTGTCTCACATTTCCCACACAGTTTAATACAGGTGATGATCCGACCAAGCACGTACCTGTTTTCTTCCACCTTCCTATTATGAGAATCAATGCCGCGTCTGTAGGCGCTGTCAATCTGAGCTGCAACATTCACCCTTCCAAGTAATCCCAATTTTACGGCATTTTCCAAATGACTGTTGCTGCTCTCATGCTTCATTGTCCTCTCCGAAAGATGCTTGAAGTCCTTGTAACCTGTCCTCGACCAAGTACCTTGATCTTCACCAAAAAGCAGGCAAGGAAAGCAAAAGAGGGAATTCTTCTGGATGCTCGCCGTTAGCCATTTCTTTTTAGCAAACCACTCAGCGTTAAACCCACGTTTAACTTTGCCCGCAGTCTGGACCATTTGGAAATCCGGTGGATGGTGGGCACCGAGGCGCTTTACCTCCAGTTTCTCTCCGAGACTAAGTGTCTCAAATGTGTGCTCCAGTAAATGGTCAACTTCATTCATTTTCTTTCAGTTTTTTACTTCTTTTAATCGCTGGTGATGTTAGCTATATGCTGCTCTCTCGTCTCCTCTTCAAACTACACGTGACGTTTCGCAGCACTGCACACGTGAGTACTTACAGCCAATCAATTCTGAATTATGTGAGATGACGTATGGTGGGGATGGGAGCACTATGCCCCTACGGTCATTATTTTTTTGCCACACACATTAAATAGAAAAATACTCTGAGCATGCGCAGTGTAGTTTTTACAATCACCGTTCACGTAGACTGTGGGAGGGAGGGGCAGAATCGGGTTTTGTCCCACATGGCTCTAAACAGCTCAAAACGGCACTCTAGACACTAATTAGAAGAACACAGACTAAAACAGAAATGTACAGACGAATCAGATTATTAAACATGACCTTAAAATATATTTTATATGTTTTTTTATTTATTTTTTTGTATTTTTTTTGTAATCATTATTTGTAATACTTTCTTCTGACACTAGGTGGGGCTGTGCCCCACCTGCCCCTAATGACCCGCCGCCACTGCCCCTGCTCTACAATCATCATATCCAGACGTTCTGAATCAGGTTCATGTCCTTCAGTTTGTC